CTTCGCTGATGTTTGCTTCTCCGTGGCCGCCCTGGCCGCTCCCCTCCCAGGCGGGATTGTCGGCCTCCGGTATCAAAATGCCGCTCCTGTGAAGAGCCACCAGGATGTGGCACCGCTCGGTGCCCGTGGCACGGTTGGCCGTGGCACCGCTCGGTGTGCTCAGCCCGCGGGAGAAGCGCGGCTCTGCCTGCCCTGCGGAGCCCTCCCGCCCGGGCTGTGCACGACGGCAGCAGCCACCGCTCCAACAGCAGTGGGAGAGCGGATGGTGTTTTTCATCCCCTCTCTCATTTCATCACTGGGAGCTCACGCYGATGTTCTGCCCTTTCAAGGCAGAAGAGACGTGTTGGAGCAGTGCTGRCACAGTCACCCCTGGCCTGTAGCGAGGCGTGCTGGAGGGCCATGGCCAAAACCGTGCCAGGGAGCATGCTGGCAACCAGGGGCATGGGCAATTGCCTGCCRGCACAGCCTAACTTTGGTTTTTGTTTGCCTCTATAAACATGACTTCTCAGTTGCTTCTTTAATGTCACAGTGATCACCAGTCACCAGACTATTATTAGACTAGAAATAATGCATGAGTCTTCAGCTGTGTTCAGGTACTAACTCAGGAGTTCTAGGCTCAACCYAACTCTGTCATCAGTGGAAGCACTTTCTATTATCTACTGTGTTATTATSTAACACTTGGGTTGCACACTGGTAAATAAAATGAGCTGTTTACTCTTCATCTAAAAATAAGTGACTAGTATGTTGATGCAGGTAAAAATGCCTGGCTGTATAGCTGGAGATGAAACMTTGCCTCAACAAAAAAATTCCCCATCTTTACACTTCCCTGCTGGCTGGTTTAAGTTTYCTGCTCAAAGGAAAGTCTCACTTGGAGGCAGGTGTGCTGCTCTTGGCACTTACTGTCCAGGGATGCTAGACCCAGTAATAGAGTTCAGAGCACTGGTTCTGTGCTCACATTTCCTGGATTACCCTAAGAGCAGCCAGGTTAAGCTTGTACCACATTTGCTATTACCCTCTAATGGTGTGTGTAGTCTGTTACTTTAAAAAAGCCGTAGTCAAGTAATAAGCCCCTGTAAAGAAAAAACACCAAAGACACCAAAACTCCAACCTAAACAACCTTATCATCTGCAAAAGGCARCTCATCATGTTTTCTAATTTTTGTGGACTTTTGACTAAATTTATAGTAGCCAGAAATGCAGATTGTTCAGATCCCATTTTTCTCCCAAGTCACCCTTCCTAGCATGAATTCAATGAATGAGAAAAACTGCTCAGCTCACACTGATGGCTAGCATTAGTATTTATAGAGGTTTGGATTGGCTAAGCAACAGTGATCAGGACCTCATTGAAGAGTACCAAAAAGMAAGATAACAATGAATCATCTCAGCAGTCCGGTATCCTGCACTCCATTTATACTGTGAAGTCATTCATGAGAGGGAGAAAGAATAGGTGATGTGTGGATGGATCAAAACATGACTGTTCAGAGCATTAACGAATAAAGATGTGATGTGATCATCTGCAGCTTCCCATCTCCATGCTATGAGAGCTACTGAACAGACCAAGATGCTGCATAACAGCAGCATGAAAGAAAGGTGTAGAGAGATGTTTCCTTTTGGACACTAAATTTATGTTAGGGTAGGATGCACAGGGTCAAGGTCAATGTGCCTGGTACCCAATAATGCCTGGTACTCAAAGCATCTGACAGGTTTTAAGAATCACCTGTGATCTTTAAAAGAAGTTATGTCACTACAAATATAATTAATAAGGTTTTTATGCCATGCAGTCTCAGAATGCGCAGAATGAAGAAGTGGAAAGGATAAATTAGTGGAAAGGATAATCASAGCAATAGGATGCTGTGAATGTTATGAATATATGATGTCATGATATTATGAATATAACAATAAGTAATATAATGAGTGGAAGAAACAGAGCAAGACGGGAAGTCTTGTTGGGGTCTTAGCTAACTCTAGAATTGGAAGCAAAACTGAGTCTATTACTAGTCTATTACTAGTCTATTACTAGTTCACTTCTCTGAACAAGGCCTGCACAACCACCTCATGAGTAGACTGTTCTTCTAAAGGTTGACTGAAGGCTATGATGATGCTGAGGGTCTACTGCTTTGCAGCTTCAGTGACACATAGTTTTACACTGAAGTACAGACAAGTATTTTGTTCTGCAAGATCTCAGTTCTGAGAAGGAAGGTAAAACACGCTCTTTTCCTGCCTTATGTTTAAAGCCAAGGTGAAGAGATGGCCCTACAATGTACATTTGCAGGGTATGCAAAATAAAGTGCCTACCTAGTGACCTCCCTACCTAAAATTTCARTTTTAAATAGGAAACACTCGATTTGGATCACATTAAATTTTGCTTTAAAACCTCATGTGAAAACCACATAGTGGTTAAACATTTTTCAAGCTAAAATATTTATCAAAGAAGATTAAAATACTTAGGTAATGTGTACATTATAGGCATTAATGTGGGAAAAAGCAATCAKCTAACATTTACAGAGAGTTTAAGTATAAATGTTTTAAAGATGTGTGCCCTTACTTAAGTGATGAGTGTATTTTGGAACATTTACATTAAGTCCTCCTCCTTTTCCTACAGGCTTATAAATACAGAAATAGCTGCCACAAAAATGGTTAATAAATAAATAAACAAGTTTTGGTTCTAATGTGGGGAAGAAATACAGGACCCCTTATAAACTGTAAAGTATGACTGCCTTGCGTGGCTTAACGACCACTCATTTGATATGGTGCCATCATGTTTCTGCTAAAACAGGGACATGCTCTTCTCTTTTTTGCCTTAGTCACTCATCCCAAGCACTTTATCTGTGGTAGCACAAGTGCTTGTGTAAGTTTTGCTTTGGCAAAAATTGGCTGGATTTGTGTATGTGATCAGCTTATTCTGCAGTGGCTACACAGAGTTACCAATCCACATATATGTTTATGTTAATCTATATTCAAATGAGAGTTTTTGTGACTGAATGCTTCAGCTTTGCAGATGGAGACTTAATGGTTCACTCCTTGGTAAGTCTTCACACTCATCTAAAAAAAACCAAAAAAACAAACAACTGAGTTACAGAGCCTGAAATGTCCTTTCTGCCCCAGGCTGATTGGAAAACACCCCAACTCCACTAATGCTACAGCAACCAGAGAGCAAGTACCAGGGTATACAGGTATAACTTAGCCTAGTGCTCCTAGGTGACACTGCAGTAAAAATGCCAGCTATCATAAGAGGAAAGGGATCCATGTCTCCTGCCTCTGCAGCACAACAGCGTGGAAAAATCAGCAATGGAAATGCAGTGGTAAAGGCAGGGCTAGCTAGCCTCAGTTTTACCAACTGAGAGAAAAAACAAAGGGTGTGCACTGTACTCAGTGGACTTCAAAAGTCTTCTTTTTTCTGGTTTGAATCTGAGCTCTTCATGAGTTGGTCATGATAGCAGGAGAGTTACTCTCAGTCCTTGCATGTAAATTTGATGTGTGAATCTGTTCAACCAGAGAATTAATGAGGGCAACAGAAGGTCTTTTCTTTCCCCATAACTTACTGCTTGTTGTTCCTTTAGTATGTGTTGACAAAAGACTACGAGTAACAAAAAYGTGCAAACCTGTAAGGAATAAAGTTTCCTTCTACTACAGGATATTATAATTAAAAGAAAAGCTAATCAAGAGTAATAAAATAAAAATATCACAGGCGGGGAGTAGTGAAAAGTCTCAGTGGAAACCTTTACAGAGATAATCAGTGTAAATAATCTTGATCTGAGAAAAGCAGACACAAGCACTTTTAGGAGTATATGAAATCCCATGAATTATGTTGGAAGAAGCAAGAAAAATGCAGCAATTCTCATACAACCCTCACCAAGTTGTTTCTCTGTTCCACCAAGGCCTGTCAAATACAAAAGCTCTTTGGGTTTGTTTTTTTGTTTTTTTTTTAAAGAGGTGTATCCAAGTGATATGCATAGTAATGTTGAGCCAATTTGCTTGTTTTGCAACAGAAGGCAAAATTAATGCCAGTGTTTCACATTCTTGGCATTTTACCAGGCCACCCTTGTAAATCTGGACGTAACACTCAGCAGCTCTGGCACAATGTGGTCAGCTTTGTCACAGGCCTCTGTATTAGAGCCATCAGGGTACTGAATTTGGCACATTCCAGAGCTCCCACCTTTGGTGTCCCAGTACACACCAGTCCAGATACGAGGATATAGGGCAGCAGCTGGCAATGATCTGAACCTCAACCTGTTTGGGCAATGTATCTCATTAACACATGTAAATATCTCAAAGGCAAGTGCCAAATGATGGTGCCGGATTCTTTCTGCTGGTGCACAGCGACGGGCGAGGAGCAGTGGCCATAAACGAAAACACAAGAAGTTCCACCCTCAACATGAGGAAGATCGTCTTTACACTGAGGGTGTTAGAGCACTGGAAGAGCTGCCCAGGGAGGTCATGGGSTCTCCCTCTCTGGAGAGTTCAAAACCCACCAGGACTCGCTCCTCCATCACCTGTGCCAGGTGACCCTGCCTTGGCTGATGATCTCCAGACGTCCCTCCAAACCCTAAAGATGCTGCGATTCCGTGAAGGTGTTTCTTCTCACTCCAGGGGCCACCTCGGCACGGGGCTCAGCTGAAGCCCGTGATTTGGACAGCAAGATGAAAATCAGCTTAACGACCTCGTTCAGCTCCAAACTTTTGGACGTGCTAAACATGTCAACGCACCTGCGAGGGCTCATTTGCCTTTTAACTGCTGGGGCTTCCAGAACGAGGTGGTTTGYATAAACCGCTACGACCTCACACACCTCGTGCCCCACCCCGAAAACAACAGCTGATTTAGGTTTTTAAAATAGCATTATTGGCAAGGGGAGGGAACAAAACCAAACGAACAAAAARGGCAGCCCATAGAAAACGCCGCGCCGCGCGCTTTTCCGGTACTTTGGTCTCCTCGGCGGTCCGTAGCAGGCCCAGGCGCTCCCGCGAGCGCGGCGGCAGCGCAGGCGCAGCGGCGCCRGGGTGGGCGCGGGTCGGGGCGGGGGTGCGGATGGCGGCGGGGCCGCGCGATGCTGCGCTGGCTCGTGGCCGTGCTCAGCCACTCCTGTTTTGTCCCCAGGGGTGGCTCCATGTTCTACGCGGTGCGCAAGGGCTGGCGGACCGGCGTCTACCGCACCTGGTGAGCGAGGGCCGCGGTGGAGGGGGCAGCAACCCGCCCGGCCCGGCCTCACCGCCGCCCGCTCTGTTGCAGGGCGGAATGCCAGGAGCAGGTGAACAAGTTCCCCTCCGCCAGCTTCAAGAAGTTCGCCAGTGAGAAGGACGCCTGGAGCTTCGTGCACGCCGGCGTGTCGGGGCCGCAGCAGCCTGAGCCCGCAGGTAGCGCGTCCCGCCGGGACTGGGGAGCAGTGGAAGGAGGGAGGGCGGGCGTCCCTCTGGGGACATGGGGCCGGCACAAGGCACCACGCCACCAGCCTGCCCTGGCTCTGCACGGCGGCTGTGCCAGCTCTGCGGCTGCTGCCGAAACGTGGCTACCAGCCCGTGTTCATTCCKCGTCACAGGGCCGTGGCCGTGGCCTCCGGACACGGCGAAGGATGTGCCAGTGCAGTGAAAGTATTTCTGTGGGTGCTTGGAGAGTGTTCCTTGTTCCGTGTCCGTGTTAAGGTCTAAGGGTCCTTGCATATCTGTCTGCCCTTCGGTTTGCTTTAGGATGAGGAATGAGTGGTGTATTCTATTTTTTTGCATAATAGTTTGGGGTAGTGTCAGATAACAGACTAAGTTTGCTAATAGCTGATAACAGCTGCTGTCTTTCAAAGCGGTTGTTTTAAATAAAATTAGATTTTGCTGAACTTCGGTCGTTTGTTTTTGTTTTTTTTTCCTGAAGAGGCATTTGGTCTTCCAGCTGAGATACAAGAAAGCGGTAGCCGGAGAGAGGAATTAGAATTAAATACTGTGTGTTGCAGTACATGTAAAAGGCCGTATGARCAGTCAAGAAACGAAGAGCAGATTGCAAAGCGTGTAAAACATGACGAAGTACACTCAGTGTGCTCAACACCAACAGTCAGTGAAAATAAGTTTTCATATATGGGTGAGGTCTTTGATCATTCCTTTGATTATTTTCATTTCTTTACACTCTGTGATAAKCAACAACTTCAGAAACTGTAGCTATTTTTCTGTAGCTATTAGAAACCTTTTAGGGACATTTGTATATGGCAGCATCAGGCCCATTACTTCTTWTTGAAATGGAAACATGAGCCATGATCTATTTATTCACATTGTATTTCAGTGTAATTTTGATTGTTTCTAATTGGTATCAGCATATAGCTTAATCATATAGGTGTGGTTTTATGTATGTCTGGGTTTCAGACTATATTTAAATATATTGATGCAGTTGGGAAGTTTTGAAGAAGATATAAACTGTAGTGAGAAGTATGAGGCAGAAGTTATTGAGGCTGACTGGTTTAACAGCAGTGAGTGTGTCAAGCTGCAGAGTAACTTGTGTTCTGTGGTGCTAATTTGTGTGGCTTCTACAGTTTWCTTTTGGAAGGGCTCTCTGGGGAGGGAAGTTTTGGGGGTTAATATGCTGGCAAACATTTCTTTCAGCTTAAACAGTTCATGTTCTTGAAGAATTGCCTGGACTTCTGATTTTGGTAATTTTTTTGCAGGTGAATTTGCAGTTGTTTATACAGACGGTTGTTGCAGAGGTAACGGACGTAATAGGGCACGTGCTGGGATAGGTGTCTATTGGGGACCAGGCCATCCTTTGTAAGTAGCTGGATGGATTTTTTTTTTTTTTTTTTTTTTTTTTTTTTTTTTTTTTTTTTTTTTTTTTTAATTAATATAGTCTGTTTGGTTTTATGTGATTTACAATACCAATCTCCTTTTAAACATGAAACTCTGCTGTTGAGACGCATAAAGACAGTGTTATGAGACTTAAGGAGATACTGAGGGGAACAGAGAAAGCAGCTTCTCTAGGAAAAATGGACTGGAAATACTATTTTGGGGGGCTGAAGCTAGAACCTAAGAAATACAGAAAGTTTTTAAATAGAAGTCAGTGTGCACAGAGGATGACAAATGTAATTTCATGTTGATGGCAGGTCCACATGTGCAGCTTGCTCTATGCAGCTAAAAGCTAGGGCTAGAATATCTACTCATCCTTTTTTATAAAAACAAAAGTAGCTCTCTTGTATTTTTTTTTTTTGATTTGTAGCCATTATACACCATTCTTAATACTTGGGATAACCAATTTACTATTTGTTCTTTGGGCACAGAAACACCAGTGAAAGACTTCCTGGACGGCAGACAAACCAAAGAGCAGAAATACATGTAAGTAGTAAATGTCCTGAAATGCTCCTCCATGTTAGACTGCACCAACTCTTTCATGCCTGTTTMATCTCTGGCTTTCAGAAACCACTATGGAGCTCCAAGGGAAGAAATGAAAATATCCAGAGATGTGACTWGAAATAAATAGTTCTTTGAAGTTTTAGTGGTCCTTACTGGTTTTGAACAAGATAATTCACCTCGAGAATTCCCAAATCTTACCAAGCACAGCTATTTATACAGCCTCACATTAGGGAAGCTTGGCTCTCAAATCCGTATATGTTCTGTTGCATTTTTAATGTCTATGTTTCAGACTTCGGAGTGAGGGCTGCTGAGTATTAAGAGGAGATTCAACTTCTTATCATGGCAGGATCAGCRTATCTTAATACTTAGATAAATACAAAAAACAATTATAGGCTCCTGACTAACTTCTGTTGGTGATAGCAGATTTAGTCTTCCCTTCTCATCTCCTCTTAATTATGCTAGTGGTGCTATCCTCCACTTCATGTTTGGAGATGAACTGAAATGGGCAATTGATCTGTTTAAAAACTACGAAGTTCATTGTAGTGAGAGACAAGCAGAGGTGATGTTGGTGAGCCAGCGTCAGACTTGTTACTAAAGAGCCCTTCAACTCTACATCCCCACCCAGCCACTTCTCCCTGTTACATTTTGGAGCACAAAAAAAACCACCAACTTGTTAGGGTTTTCTGGCTGTCTGAACTGATATGAATCCTTCCTCCTGAAATTTCAGGAGAAAATGCCTAAAACTTGATGTGCAGTTGATAGAGGTTTTGATAGTTAGAAAATGGGTCAGAGAGCTACTCCTTCAGCACAGAGTTGAAAGTTAGAATGTTATGAGATTTTGTTTGCCGTTGAAACKTAGGTGCCTGCCTCTTTGCCTGAATCATAAAGGTGTTATCTGCTTCCTTAATTTTGGGATTCTCTACACTAAAACATATTGATAACCATTGGTGGAGAGGTTACAGTAATGCTCTTGTAGTTCTGTGTTAGCTTCAGGTATTTTGTTGGTATTTTAATTCCATGTGGTCAAAATATTTTCTGAACTGAGATTGTATTGAAATGTTCTTAAGGCAGCCTGCAAAGCAATAGAGCAAGCCAAGAGTCAAAACATCAAGAAGTTAATAATCTACACTGATAGCAAGTTTACTATTAATGGTAAGTTAACAATTTTAATTTTCATGATATTTAAAGACACTGCATTCTGTTTCATTACATATGACCTGCAGAAAATTCCGAGTCCTGGACAGAGGAATGTGAGGAAGACAGTATACAGCTYATCACTCATGACTGCTGGGGGGAAAACTTCAGAGTATCACATTGCCTGCTAACTTCATGAAATAAAAGTAGAATCAAAATGTCTGTTACAGTAAATGCTGACAGAAGTAGCAACAGGATTTTTGGTGTGAGGTTTTCAGTGTGACAAATTCTAGAAAAAATGT